ACGTAGAAATAATTATTGTGTAAATGAATAGTCAATCCTCCTCTCTGAATCAAGATCAACTAATTCAATTTTATATGCATGAGATTAATATAGCCATCATGAAATCTTGACACAATTGATTTAATATGTCACCTAGCTTATGTTTTATGAAATTAGTATACCATTATGAAATTTTGATATGTGATAGATAGACACATTTCAATATATCTACATTGAGAAGAGTATTTTCGATTCAATTGTATTTGAATTCATGATCTCAATTATAAAAAAAAAAATACAATATTTATTAATTTTATATTTTTTTATTCTAGATCGCTCACATTGTTTAATAAAATATTTAAATTAATATTAATTATCATGTTGTATTTAGTTATAAAATCTACTATTAATTTATTCGGATATTTATTATTATTAATTATTATTTTATTCTTTTATCACATTTTACCTAATTATTATTTTTTAGGCCAGATTCTTTTGTATTGACATAACTAGTAATTTTCCCAACACATTTATTTTAAAGTTTTCACTCAAATAAAATTATACCTTAAGTCCTTAGTGATTAAATGTAATTCTTAAATAAGAAGGAACTAGTATAACACCCATGTATTACATGGGTGGGGACGGTGTCTCATCCCGTCATAAAAGTGGGATGGTTATGCGGACAAATCAAATCCAAGATCGTCGTTCCGGACCGCGCCCACCCCTACCATAAATAATCAACATATTTATAGATAATTCAAACCTATCCAAGCCTAATAACGAAGCATGTAATTTTGCCACATAGGATCCCGAAGCATGCGAGCCTGCCACTTAGGCTCAACACGTTCTCAATTAATATATAGTGGGGATATAATATTACTTAATCAACACAGTATATAATAAAATACAAAATCGGATGGGAAAATGAAAAGAGGACGCGTAGTGCGAGTCGTGGAATTTACTCAGTGCTCAAATTAAATGTAAGTCATTTAACGACGCGCTATTCGAAGATCCCAACCCAAGTCTTAACCTGACACACGTGGGCCCTTTATTAAACGGTTTAGATGCGTTCTGCATATTGGATGCGATAAAACGAGACCGTTGGATGAGTGGCGACGTGGACTTGTTTTGTATTTATTTTAAAAATAATAAAAGTCCTAGCTGGCAGCCGGCGCAGATAGGTTTGTGGTGAAATGGGACGGATCTTAACCGTTGATTTAGATATATCCGACGGTTGGAGACATTGAGAGTTGGAAGAATACACTAGAGTCAGTCACACGGTTCACGGAACGTCCGAGCGGGTATGGGTCCTAGCTGCCTATTTTTTTTTTGTGGAAATTTATATTTATTTAAATTTCATTACTCCTTCATCACTCTCTCTATTTCTCTCTCTCTCTCTCTTGTATTTTTTATTTATTTTTCTACTTTTAACACTTTTTTATGCCAATATCAAGTAGTGGGTGGCTGGGGTCACACATTGGATTAAAAAACTGATTGAATCTTGTGAATTGGATTATAATTATGTCGTTGTGAATAAATAATTTAAAGAAATAAATAATTTAAAGAAGTGATTTTTTAATATTAAATGATCTTGTTTAAATATTACTCCTTTTGTTTTTTCTTAGATGCCGTTGTAGGATGTCAACATTTTTGCAAATTACTTGTCGTTGGAAATATTATATTCATTCTTACAACTTTATTCTCTTTAAAAACTTTATCTCTTATCATTATCTTTAAAAACCACCCATTAATAACTCAAAAAAACTAATTTTAATAAGATTAAAATATAAGATTATTACACAACCCATTAAAATCGTAATTTAAAAGTTTTAAATTAAAACGACATCTAAAAAGAAACAGAGGGAGCAGTAGACAGTGGATTGCGTATTTTATTAGTTTATAGGTGACAATAGATTGTAATAGCAAATTTGACTAGTGATATATATTAGCATTTTTGAAATAGTTGTTGGTAATATCGTTATTAAAATTCTATATTGATATATTATTCTACAAACTTGTTTTTCTCAAAAAGCTTTAATACTAGGGTTTTTTCAAAAATAGTGTTTTCATCAAACGTTATGATAAATAAATTGCTTTCGAACTGGATTTTTAGCCTTCAGCTTCGTGAACCATCTTTCGGCTTGAGCTTCAGTGACTTGCAAAATAAGGTGGGAGGGGTCTTGATGGAATAATTTCTCACACTCAAGTTAGAACTCACTCGTGAACTTGTAAAACAAGAATTTAATGTGTACTATCCGTGTAGTTATAAAAGAACCACGTAAATTCCTTTTATAAGGAGGTTGCATTCTTATCCAGGTAACCTCATTACTAAGCAAGAGATCTTTACGTATCTCCTTATCTAGTATAACACGTCTCTAAGATATTATATTCCTTAGCAAGATATACCTACCCCTCTAGTACAACTCAGTTTTCTTATTTATCAGGACTCAACAGGTCCTTAGCTACTCGCACCAATCACATGACCCTGTTACCATACTTCTTATCAGGTCGCTCATACATCCTCTTTGCTCAACCTGTAGGTCGTGACATCCTCTCCTTTGATCGAGCTCTTGATCGAGTCCAACTTGCTAGCTCGTGACCAGAGTTGACTGTTTTACATGTTTTTCTTATTATTTTTGGTGTTTTTACGATAGTTACTCAAGTTCATTTGGCTTATTTTATCGATCTTTTTGTCCTTTAAATAGATTTTTCCCGTTTTGTGTCTATGTTATTTTTTGTATTTTGCACATTTTTTTGCCTATTTCGCATTTTGTTTTGTAGGAAAATGCTATTTCGATAATTTCGTCAAGTGCCCAGCGACAAAGCGTTGCGTCCATGTATATGGACATATTTTAAAGAGCGGGATACTTGGATATAAGATTTATTGGTTTTGTCTTGGTTTTTTTTTTTTCTTAACAATGTTAATTTTAAAAAATGTGGTATTGTTAGTTGTTAGTGAAATTTTGAGTTTATATTAAAATAATATTTAAAATAAAATAATTAAAGTTGATTTGATATGGTGGGGTTAAAAAAAAAGTGATTGGGTTAAAAATATTTGGATATATTGTTGGATACCTTATATCCAAGTAAGCACGTGACGTCCATGAATCTGGCATATTTCAGGAGCCTAACGTCCATCTATATGGACAGATTTTTAAAAGTATAACGTCCATGTATTTGGACAGATTTTCAGTCGCGCTTTAAACTCTTTATATACGAACTTGTAAGAGATTATAGAGACAACTTTGAAAACACTTAATACAACTCGGGACCGATCCAAAGGTTCCCGAACACCAATAAACCTCTTGTAAAAAAAATTCTTGTAATTTTCTCTATTTTACTTTTGGCTCGTGCTCGAATTGTTGGAGATAAATACGTTATTAACAAAAGTTTGTAATTTTTATCGTTTTGCGAGTTTTCATTTCTCAACTTGTATTGTTGATTGAATGCGAACTTCAATTTCGATTAGCGTGGAATTCAATCGTGCATGAGTTAATTCATCCACCTAGGGATAGGAGTTTCGATTCTAGTCTTAAATTTGTGTTGAATGTGTGATAATTCATGCCTCTCGAATTGCTTGCTTATAATGATTAGTTGCTTAATCACAATCTAGTTTAATTAGATAACTTAGTATTAGGAAGGTGATAGTGTATCCCATCATGGTTCGAATAGGGTAAACATGTTGTAATTGTATTGAGTACATATTCATTGATCTAAGTACGTGTTTGACTATGTTCGAACTCATGTTCATAAAAGTATTAGGAACGAATCTCTAGACTTGTGTGTGTTATTATTTATTCGTTTATGTTCAATCAATTGTTACGAAAGCTATTTGGAGTGAACCACTAGGCGTTTAGGTGAGAGCCTTAGGGCTTGATTGTTTATGAAATAATTTACTCACATTTATTTCATACTCAAAATCTAACTCAACTTTAACTCAACTCCACTATTTTTAATATTATTCATATAGTTAAATAATACAAACCAATCATTCTTACACATCACATCAACTTTCGTTCACTATTCATCCACTCACATAATTTAAACTACTTATCATTTCTAATCATTTACCTCATACTTTTACATCAAATCATTTTTAATCATTTCATTTTAAATATTATTTTAATACATTCTTAAAATTCCACTAACAACTAACCATACTACCTTTTTCAAAATTAACTATGGT